AAAAAAGGCCCACCTCGCTCGGGATTTCCAACGTACTCTGTCCCTGTAGTTCCTTTAGCCCCCCGAAAAATTAAAAGACTCGAAAAACTAAACTCGCCTCCGGAACACTTTGAAATCCTGTTCGTTTTGAGGCAATCAATTTGAACTATGTTAATCTCCCTATATACCATTCACCTCTCCTTCTAATCCAACTTGTTCTTCTTACATTTTGAAAAATCCTCTTTTCCTTTGTGTGGTCTTTGCCGGAAAAAACTCGTCTTGGGTAGAATTCTATTCAATCGGCGATGTCGATTTATCATAACACTTTGTACTGTAATGTGGGCGTGGCCATATGTAGGGTGAAGAATGTCTACCAAAATCTGTTGACGTGAAAAGTTTGACCCCTTTCTTAATTCGTCTGACCCCAGAAGTGGACTAGTAAACCACTTTCAGTGAGGTCCAGCGCAGAATTCCACCACTTTGCTCAATTACCGTATTCAAAGTATGAGACAAAAGGACTCCGAGAAGGGATTCTTCCGAAAGTACTTTCTGGAAGGTTTGTTGACTTTAGATCATTCTTGAATTACAACAGTAACGAATAATTATTCCTTCAGGTCAGCACTTGGACGAGAGCACTCAACAGCAAGAGCTACCAAAAGACGCCGATTTCTTGGACGTTATTTTGATAAAGTACAGAAAATATGTAGCCGTTTTGATTCCCCTTGTAGTAATGCAGGTAAGCCGATCTCCACTACCTTCTATTACTCATGTTCAATATGAATACTTATCAATTTTGTAACAGGGGGAAGCTGGAAAGTTTATCAGTTGCATTTCTACGTTTTGGGTTGGCCCATGCATGATGGCTTTTTTCTTAATAGAAAAATTGTGAGTGAGATGAAACGATTCCCAAGACATTTCACACTCCTGAGTAGAGAATTTTACGCCGTTCAAGGCAGCTTAACTGGGCATCTGAAATCGCCATTTGTGAGTGTCTGGGTGACAAAAGTAGGCGTTTGCGTCAGGTCCTTCTGCTTCATCGAGATACCGGCGCTGTAGATGCAGCTGAGATTTGCGAAGTGTATGGTCCAGAAAGCTCGTCTTCTGGAATCGCTTAAGTTCGTTTCAAGAGCTTCGGATTTTTGACTCCGTGACCATGTGTACGGTACCGAGCGCACACCTCAATACGTGAGGACCGCTTTAGCGACCGACGCATCAATGTTTCGGAACCCCTTCCCACGAGGTAATGGTGTAGCGACCACACCAGTAACCCACGCATCAAGGGTGACGTTCGATGGAAGTGTGGGAGCACGATCTCTTTTAGTGCCAAATCATGCGGTGTTGGTATCTGCGAAGAAGCTGTTTCAGAAAGCTTCCAAGCGAACTCAATATGGCATCCAGTGCTCGTCTGCGAGGTTAAAATTAGAAAATTAGGATCGATTTTACCAAATCTGAGGCTTCTTGAAAGGTGCCGACCATACGCTCAAAAACCAGCTTCGCGGCATTACTTCTTGATTAAAACAGTCCACCAGTTCGTGAGCGTCCTTTCTTGTCTGACCATAAGTGGTCTCTTCATAAGCCTCTCTGCCTATCCCACTTCCGCGGCTTCACAGTAAGTAACGAAGGCGACGCGACTCTCATAATTGGCAGATCTGACGCCTTCTTGGTTGTCCTGCTCACCAAAACTCAAAGGCTGGCACGAGTCCAGTTTTCACAGTGTTTCTTTATCGTTAGATGTTCTTAGCATTGGATTACGCGAGGAAGTGATTAGTGAGATTGAGGTGGCAGGATATCACTTTGCCGGCATAAAACGAGCAGTCCTGGGTACACAATGGGACGGCTGCCACGGGGTTTGGGGTGTCCTCCATCATTTTTTTGTTGTTTTCCCTCTCTAGCGAGTCACCTAGCGACCATGGGACTGTAACTGAACGCCACTATCCACAGTAAGGAACCGAGGGTTTTGTTTCAAACGCAAAATGGGAGTGGGTCAAAAGCTCGTCTTTCTCGACTTCACACTCCATTTTAGTGACCTAAATATTGAAAAGCAAATTTCAAAAAGGTTGGCAAGCCACCTCAAAGTCAAATAAGTAAAGTACAGTGAGTAATTGATCAAAGCTGAAAATTCTCTATCTCGTTTTACAAAATTCGATAACAAAGCGCTTCCTTATTTCATGCAAAATTTTTAACTAGAAAAAAAATCGTTACTTGTGAGCCAACCCAGTAAGTCACGCCACTAATCAATGTCATTTTCAGGCGTTTTGGTGGTTGACAGCCATTCGCTACTCATGGTTTCAGCTTTATCGTACTCATTGGGAACTGCCGGCTATCATGTTGTTAGGGTCTACTGTGGCAGGTGAGTTTCCGTTTTTTTTTCTTTTTCAGTTGCTTTAGCTTTAGAAGAAGCTTTCTCTTGTGATTGGACCATTTAAGATGCTTAAAAGCTACATTTGATGGCTTCTATCCTATTTTTTAACTCCTAAAAAAGTCATCTTTTTCACGAACTCTTGAAAAAAAACCCAACTGGACCTAACTGAAATACTTGCACCCCCTCCATTAAGACTAAACATTTCGAAACTAATCTTCTAGAAATCACGTGACATATCCCGGTACAGTAACCACTAGAGCCTCGAAATCTCCGTCATACCCTGAATTGCTCAATATTTGCCCCCTCTCACCGGCTATTCAGTAGAAGGTTCGATGCTGAAAAATTGTGTGAACCAGTTCTGCGATGGCTTACCCGCAGAGTGACCATCATGTACAGCCGGCTCTCTGATTTTTCCGGACTATCCTATGGTACAGGGGAGACGGCCCACAGTCCATTAATCATTCCGGGAATTCGAACCCACTCGCACTTGCCATTTATAACAGCGCGCACTGGCAACGCGCTAAAGGAGACACGTCATATCGAGTGAGCTATTTCTAGGCATGACTTCGGAAGGCGGTGGAGCTGTTGCGTTTCCTGTGATGACTCTTGGGTTGAAGTTAGC